GAAAAGAGATTATAAGGGAAAGTCCCGGTAGTGATTCTTACTCAAGGAATCTTACAATATGCCTAAAGTACAATCATAAGAAATTGGGAGTCTTGCTAGGCAGGGTGGTTCATGCCTATAATCCCAGAGACCTAAGAGAATGAGGCAGAAGATGCAAGTTTGAGGCATTCCTGGTTAACTTTGTGAGACTGTCTCAAAATTAATAACAGTAATGGCTAGGGATGTATCTCAGTCCGCTGTACCAAAATAAATGCATAAATAAATAATTGTAGGGCCGGGGAGATGGCTCAGTGGAATAAGCACTTCCCTGGCAAGCATAAGGGCCAGAGTTCAATCCCCGGTTCCACAAAAAATAAAATAAAATAAAATAAATAATTGTAGCTCTTCAGTGAACCTAAATGAGATAAATATTTTGTGAGTTTTATGAGCAAAAATTTAGTTTGAAGAAACAATTTACTTTAGAGCAGTGATTTGAAATTTCAGTAAAATTTTAAAAATGATATGCTCCAGTGAGCGCTACACATTTGTTCTCAACACTCTCATGCAATAAGGGTCCTTGCTTTGTGAGTTGCTCCACTTTTTGCCTACATTGTTAATCATTTACCATTGGTAATGTCCCCTCAGCATACAAAAACACCCTAGTTTTTCCTTGCAGAGGAGAGAAGAGATACCATCTCCAGCTCTTTCCCTTTACAGCCAAGCATCTTGGAAGAGTTGTGGATCTTCCCATCTCCACTGTAACTGATCTTGCAAAGATCAAAAGTGACTTTTGTTGCTATATCTAGTGATATCACTTAATCTGCAATATGTGAAAGCTTCCATTTTGAAACTGGTTTTTCAACACCACTCAAAAACAGTTTTCCGGGGCTGGTGAGATGGCTCAGTGGTCTAAAGCACCTACTTAGAACAAGCTAAGCTAAGCAAAGCACAGGGACCACGGTTCAATCCCCCAGCACCACATGCCAGCCAGCCCCGCCCCCTGGTGGGCTGAGCTGGCCACACACACAAAATTAAAAAAAAAAAATTAAAAAAAAAATAAAAAAAAAAAAGTTTTCCTTCTTTCTTCCCTGGCAGGACCCCTATTCCTTACCCAACATTCAAAAGATCCCTCTCCAATTCTAATCTGCCCCGTGCAAAATTGTTACACCAAAATGTTCTCTTCTAAGGTTGAGGAGTGTAGCCCAGGGTGGAGCACATGCCTTGCCAGGGAAGCCCTGGGCTCAGTCTCCAGCACCACTTCCAGTCCCTCCAAAAATAATGTTCCTGGGGCTGGGGAGATGGCTCAGTAGAATAAGCACTTGCCTGGCAAGTGCAAGGGTCTGAGTTCAAATCCCTGGTTCTGCAAAAAAAAAAAAAAAAGAAAGAAAGAATGTTCTATTTATTTCATATATTGTAGAGTGGAAAGAGATTCCAGCTTTCTCATAATATTCTTATAAAAAATTTCAAAAATACACAAAAGGAGGACTTTTACGAGTTTTATTACACCGCCTGTCCTGAAAAATTTCCCCAACATCCTCCCAGAGTACTGTTAAGTAAACTTCTTATAGGGCCAGCGAGATAGCTCACTGGACTAAGTGCCTGCTTAGGCAAGCAAAGGGCCCAGGGTTCGATCCCCAATATGGCGTGCTGTGCCAATGGATGCTGTGCTGATCCCGCCACCTGTGTGTACTGAGCCAGCCACTGGGTTTGGGTGTGGTGGCACATGCCTGTAATCCCAGTGCTGGGGAGACTGAAAACAGGAGGATCACTCCAAGTCAGAGCTGTGTAATGATACCTTGTACCAAATACATAAATTTTTTTAAAAAGTAAAAGGTAAACTTCTTATAAACCATCATAATATTTTATTTGTATAGTGGTACCTGGATTCTCCTGCCTCAGCCTCCCAGAGTGCTGGAATGTCAGCCGTGAGTCATCCAGCCAGGGCCCATACCATTCTTTAACTTACCTCCAGCTTTCCCATAAATATTAGTTCCACTCCTCCATATTCCCCTGCACAAAAAGACTTTTTTTTCAAAGCTGGAGATACAACCCAAGACTTCACAGATGCTGGAAAAGTGCTCCATCCCTGTGCTACACCTACAGCCCCAAGAGAATCTGAAGAGATCCTGACTGGCTAGCTTTCTTTCTTTATTTCTTTTATTCAATTCTACATTTATGCCTCTGATCTTATGCTGACAGGACTCCCTCTTCAAATCTCAAATTCTTCTAATTGATCTTTCTCTCTCTCTCTCTCTCTCTCTCTCTCTCTCTCTCTCTCTCTCTCTCTCTCTGCCTCTCCCTGTCTCCTTCTACTTCTCTTACACATACACATAGGGGCTTATCATAACAAGTTGATTCAATAAAACACCACTACTAAATACTGAAAAACTTATTAGTTATTTCAGTTAAAATTTTACTCAAAAAGAAAAAAAACAGCGTTCACTGGTATACAAAAAATAAGTTAATGCCTAGAACTGTTGCAGATACTGAGTTTCTGTGGATTTAACTCCTAACATTTTTTTTTTCCCTGTCTTGACTCCCACTGCCTCTGCTGTGGTGATTCAGACCTCATGATTTCTCACCCAGGGTGCTGTAATTGCCTTCTAACTACTCTCCTTGTCTTCTCAGTATACCAATTCTCTATACTAACATGAATAGTTTTAATGTTTCTAAAAGCTAAATGTGTCATATCTCTACAAAAAAAAAAAAAATTCTTCTGTGGCTTCCCTTAGCACTCCTCTACGTCCTTATATAGAATGTTTCCACCATCCTTAACTATTATTCACGGGGCTGGGGAGATGGCTCAGTAGGATAAGCACTTCCCTGACAAGTGCAGGTTCCTGAGTTCAATCCCCGATTCTGCCAGAAAAATAAATAAATAAATAAATAAAAAACTGTCATTCACTATTCTGCTAACTGCTAGCATGCTGTCTTCAAGACATACACTGAATTTCTCTGATTGAAATGCCTTCTGGGGGCCGGGGAGATGGCTCAGTGGAATAAGCACTTCTCTGGCAAGTGCAAGGGCCTGAGTTCAATCCCCAGTTCTAAAAAAAAGAAGAAGAAATGCCTTCTGTAGTCCACTCAGATCCTTCAAGACACATCTTACATGTCTCTTCCCTTGATAGGCTTTCTCATATCCCAGTTAGGTGTCCTTTGAGCCTACAAATTGGGGTCAGAAGGATATGAGAACAATGGATACCAACTATCTTTTAGCCTTAATAGAAAAGTTACACAAGCAATAGCAAAACCAACAAAGTCTTTCCATACATTCTTATTTAATCTTCACAACAAACTTATGAGGTAAGTACTATTACCTCCATTTTATAAAGAAACCACAACTTCAAGAGCTTCTATCATTGCCATGAATCACACAACTAATAGGTAGGTGGAAAGCTAGAATGGAACCCAGAGGTATAAATGAATCCAAAGTATATGCTTTTTTTTTTGGCGGAACTGGGGATTGAACTCAGACCCTTGTGCTTGCCACAGAAGCACTTATTCCACCAAACCATCTCCCCGGCCCCCCTTTTTCTTAAAAAAAAAAAAAAAATTTGTATAGTTTTTTTAAAAGTTTTTTTGTTTTTTAATAGAGTTTATTTATTTATTTTTTTGTGGCCAGCTCAGCCCACCTGGGGGAGGGGCTGGCTGGCATGTGGTGCTGGGGAATCGAACCGCAGTCCCTGTGCTTTAGGTAAGCTTGTTCTAAGTAGGTGCTTTAG